ATAATAATAATAATAATAATAATTATTATTATTATTATTATAGCAATAATGATATTTTTATATTATACTACTAATAAATAAAACGAAATTAATTTAGTTAAAATTAATCATAATAATAACAACAACTATACCTAGTCCTATAATATTAACACTTGATTATTTTTTATTATAATTACTACTTTTATAGCAATAACTATATTATTATATTATAGCACAAATAAATAATTTAATAACAGTTTAAATTAATAATGACAATAACAAACAAACAAAAAAATATTATTCAAATGATTACTGTAATAATATATATATATATATATATATATATTAATCACAGACACGTTAAATTAATCAAAAATGACATTAATGATATTTATAATGTCATGAAATATTTTCCAAATAAATGCTGCTATTTTGAACTTTCTATTCATCAATAATAGTGATTTTTTAAATTGTTTTCAACACTGATAATAATCAAAACATTTTCGTGAGCAGCAAATCAGCATATTAGAATGATTTCTGAAGGATCATGTGACACTGAAGACTAGAGTAAAGATGCTGAACTATATTATTATATTATAGCACAAATAAATAATTTAATAACAGTTTAAATTAATAATGACAATAACAAACAAAAAAATATTATTCAAATTATTACTGTAATAATATTAACAACAACAACAACAATAATAATAATACACAGCACATACAAATACTGCATAGTCCATTTTAAATTAGCCTGAGCTTGAAAATAATATTTACAATCAACATTGCTCGCACTTCATCTGCCATCTTTGGTGGACTAAAAGACAGTGAGCATGTCGCAGTGCATTATGGGGTTGTGCTCTCCACAAAGCAGACATGCACTGGTGTCTCAGCATAATCACACAGTCTTTTGAGGTCAAAAATGCATCTTCGATGCCTTAAAATCCTGCCTACGTGGGCAGCTCTTGGAACCGAGCTTTTGTGTTTTCCAAGGAAAACCGATTCTCTGGCCGCTTTTGAGCTGAATGGAAATTCCCTTTTGAGAAGCAAAGATGTCTTTGTTCGGTTTCACTATCAATAAGATGTGCCATTGAGCTTCAAATATACCTGCAAATGAAATACGGGCCGCTTTCCTTATCTAAAGGAAAGCAAATTACCTCAAAAAGGAAAAAAAAACCCTAGTAAATCCAAGAGCTGGTAGGAAATTGCCCATGAAAACACACACGGATGCAGACATTAGCAATCTGAAATCATTCTGGGATCACGCTAGGCCACCTGGAGCAACAGAGGAATGAGATAGATCAAACCCAAAACACTGAACTGCACTTGAACTTCTCGAGGACAGAAAGAACGGAGGGGAAAATCTGAAACAAAAAAGCAAAAAGGGCAAAAACATCCAAGCATCCAAGTTTCCACAGGAACCCAAACTCTCCCCTGCCTCCCTCCGCAATTAACTCACTACGGCTCTAAATAGGAAAAACCATTACAGAACGCCACGGCGCTTTCATCTCGGCATGGGAAATCATGAGCCGGTAACGTGTCGCCGGTGAGGTTTCTGAATGGGAAGAGTCTCGGAGGATGCGAGTGTGAGAGCAAGACCCGGCCAAATCCCCGGAGCACCTACGGGACGGATCGCGGTTGTCATGGTAACAAAGGAGGAGTGAGTGGCGCAAAACTGGACCGTGCGTGCTGAGAGAGACGGGTATAAATGGAGACAAGCGGAGAGACTGAGACAGAAAATAAGAGAGACAAGAGAACAGCATGCACTGACTGATTATTTCCAGAAACTCAGCATCTTTGCCGAAACACACAGAGACCAGCACGAATGTGTGTTTTTAGGGAAATTTTATTGAATTTAGGGTCATGCCCAACCAACACTGAGAAATGTTTTGGTAATATACAGATACCAAACACAGTCTTCTACTAGTGAAACTGAATAAAATGAGACGAAATGAAAGGAAATGAAAAAAAAAAGAAATAAAATTAAACAAAATTAAACTAAATGAAATTAAATAAAATAAAATAATAAAACATACGACAAGTGGTTTGGAGAATGGATAGAATGGATGAATTATAATTAGGATAAAAAAATCTTAATTTCTACACACAGGAAAAAAAAATTTTCTTGCACAAAAAATAAAAGATTAAAAAATAAAATAATAAATGCAAAAATGGATGGATGGATGATAATCAGGCAAAATCTTCTTTTTATAAACAGAATTATCTTTATTGCACAAAAAAATTAAAGATAAAAAAATAAAATAATGAATGCAAAAATGGATGGATGGATGATAATCAGGCAAAATCGTATTTTTTATAAACAGAATTATCTTTATTGCACAAAAAAATTAAAGATAAAAAAATAAAATAATGAATGCAAAAATGGATGGATGGATGATAATCAGGCAAAATCGTATTTTTTATAAACAATTATCTTTATTGCACAAAAAATAAAAGATAAAAAAATGAAATAATAAATGCAAAAATGGATGGATGGATGATACTCAGGCAAAATCTTATTTTTATAAACAGAATTCTTTATTGCACAAAAAATAAAAAATAAAACTGAAATAGGCTTCAGCATCCCCATAACCCTGCACAGGACAAGAGGTTTGGAGAATACATTGATTATAATTAGACAACATTGCTTAATTTCTATAAACAGGCAAAATTATTTTTATTAGACTAAATAAATAAATAAATAAAATGGATAAATAGATGGATGGATTCAAATTTTATTTTATTTTTCCCACTGAAATTTATTTTCCTATGAAGTTGCATCTCTACATTGTATTGCTAAAAAGACTAAAAATAGCTTGAAATAAATTAGTTAAAAATAGAAATCTAAACTAATCATTCTGAACAATTACGAACAGCCGTGTTGTTCACCTATCGACATGATTGGTGAAGCTGACTCAAAAGCATGCTCTTTCTGGATAGTTCAATTCTCGATGGTTAAGCAAGTTAAACAGTTTAGAGTTGACACCAGCACACTCGCATTCAAAACACAGATTGCTGTTGGTCTTGCGGTAGTGATTTATGCTATAACTGGGTGAGACACAATAGTGAGACACAACATCACCTTCCCTTCATTTGCTCTTCAACAGAACAAACTTTCATAACAGGGCCGACTGGAGCTCCATCTTTACTAAAAACTGCATCTGGATCAGTTTCTGACTGTCTGAAGAGAGAATAAGTAACTTTGGCAAACAGTATTTTAGTTGTGAAGCTGCTTTTCCACACAAAACTGTATTTATGGTTTCATGTCAGCCAAGTCCATTTCAAGTGCATTTGTCTTTCTAGGCTGTACACTCCTTTACTCAGCAAAAGCACATCATTTTGCAATAAAATATCAACACTCATAATACAGTATAAAGTGCTCCCTCAAACAAAAAAAGCTAATAAAAGTTGTTTAAGTGCAGCACCTCTGAATGCCATGCATTCATGCAGCGCTCATCCAGCAGCTTTGACGGCGACGTGATCCATGTGTCTGTCTGGCGCCTGTAACAAAATATCTACATTTTGTTTCAGAATTGCTAATGATCTGTCTGTTTGCTCTGAGGATCTAAAAGCTGTACGTCCTTTATATGGAGATGTCTATAGATGGATATCTAGGTTTTGTGGTGGTGTGGCATTACGCTTTAAAGCACACAAAGACTGGAGATTCAAACCCCAGATGAACCCCAGTGATTCAGCATTCACCGTCCCCTTCAGCAAAACGGCTGGTCATTTTAATAGAGCTACAAACAAATCTTTATATTTTTTAGCCTGTTGTTGAGATGGACCCATAATTTCAACAATCAGACTCTATAATGTAGTAATATGCACTACTTGCAATACCATTCAAAACTTAACTGGTAAAAACTTTAAAGAAATTAATGAAAATATATTAAAATAGAAAATAAATATTTCAAATTGTAATAATATTTTACTTTTTTTTTTTTACAGTATTCGTGATCAAATAAATGACAGCCTTGGTGAGCAGAAGAGATTCTTCCCCCCCCCCAAAAAAAACAAAAAACTTTTGAACAGTAGTGTATATTTGGTTACACTTTACTTGAAGGGGTGTGCATACGACTGACATGACACCTTCATAA